TCCTTCCCAACAATGAATACCCACTCAAATCTCATGATGGCCAATATTACCCCTCAAAGGTTGCCCACAAGGTTCCTGACTCATACAAGAAGAGCCCTCGGGAAGAGCTTCATGCTGAAAATGAAAAGGTTATAGGAAAAGAAGGGCGAGATGAGATACCCGGGAAGCTGAAAAGTATAGAACAGTCTTTAAAGAACATGCAAGGGATGAGAAACCAGGTTAGCATGTCTTACAAAGAGTTGTGTATGTTCCCTGACGTTCGCCTGCCCGCAGAGTTTAAAGTACCAAAGTTTAACTTGTATGATGGGTGTGGAGATCCGGTAGCCCACTTGAGGGATTATTGCGGTGAAATGAGAAGTGTTGGCGAGAAAGATGATTTGTTGATGGTGTATTTCAGTGAGAGCTTGACTGGGGCAACTTTGGAATGGCATAATCATCAAGATGTCGGTAAGTGGCATACATTGGGCGACATGGCTCAAGATTTTGTGCGACACTTTTAGTACAATGTAGACATTATCCCAGACCGCTCCTCCCTATCTCAGATGGAATAAAAACTCAAGGAAAGTTTTAGAGATTTTTGGCTCATATGGAACGAACAAGTTTCTCGAGATAGTCCTCCCATTGACAGAAAAGATGTTGCTGAGCCCCGCCGACGACAGGGTCCAGTGGTCGTTCTTGCTAAACGCTTTCAGCCTTAATGTCGACCCCGTGGATATTCTTGTAATCCTCCCCACTACTATTTCTCTCCACAGAACTCCCAAAATCGTACATCACTTTCCCGATACCCCCGTCCACAATGCGCCACTATATGCTCCACATCCACGAGGCTCACGATGGCCCGCACCACTTCCACAAATGTCTTACCCGCCCCCTCAGGCATATCAGCCACCTGCCTGCAAAAGGTTCCAACTGAGGCCAGAGTATAAAATGAAAAGACTACTGAAAAAGAAAGGGTTTTCACCCCTATTGGAGAATCGTATGCCAGTCTGTTCCAGAGGTTGAGGCAATTGGACATGTTTAAGCCGATTCAGATAAAAATTCCAAACCCGCTTCCAAAGAAGTTTGATTTTTCTCAAAGGTGCGCATATTGCTCAGATGCCCCGGGGCATGACATAGAAAAATGTTGGCATCTGAAAGGAGCAGTCTAGAAGCTTATTGATGCAGGTGACATTACCGCGCAAAATCCAAATGCAGCAGATACTAGCCAAAGTCCATTGCCTGAGACGCATATGGAGGACATGATTTGTGTGGAAAAGGAATATGAGAACTATTCTGAGATCCTCGGAGGGCCAGTTGAGAAATCAGGCGATGGTGAGTTGAGAAAAAGAACGTGAACATCAGACTAAAGATCGTGAATCAGACACCACAAGTCGAATAAAGATCGTGAATCAGATTGGATAATCGGAGCATTGAAGCCCAGTTTCACGCTTCAGAGGTACAACAAGAGTTGAACATCAGACTTGTTTGATAGATTAGGCCACTTAATCAACATGTGCATGTCATGGTCATTAGAGTTGGTATCCACATCTGATAGGTTTCTACTTTGTAGTTTTCTTGTTAGGAATCATCTCTTGCCATTATCCTTTACTTTGTTCCTTTTGTCTTGTTTACTTCCTCTTCCTGAGTCTGTTTGGTCAGAACAAGTGAGAAATGACTTCAAATTTGCCACCAGCTTTCCAATTGCACAAAACGGGATCTGGCTAGCACATCAAAGTGTCATAAGTCAGGAAAGAACAACAAGCGCGCCGAGTTGGTAACAATCGACATGCCTTGGGATCCATGTGAAATACAAAGGTTTGGTATATATCAATTCATGAACAATGCAATAGATAGGGGGTGTTGGGTGAACGGTTCAAAGGTATTTTTTTGTGATAAGATTGACAAAGAAAGTGGTTAACCAGGGACAAGCAAGGTCTTCCAAGCAGAAATCAAAGTTATCATGGCAAGTGAAGGAGCAATAGACCTCAAGGCCAAGGCCAGTAGTTTAAGTCAAGAGAGAAAAGTATACGCACTGAGTGGGTGGAAATTGACGTGCTTTGGGATTCATGTGAGACATAAAGGTTTGGTAAATGTTAGTTCATAAGCAATGCAACAGATAGAGAGTATTGGGTCTGAACGGAGAAGAGGTATTTTCTGTGATAAGGGTGACAGAGAAAGTGGTTAGTCAATAAACAAGCAAGGTCTTCGAGTGGAAATCAAAGTTATCATGGGAAGTGAAGGAGCAATCGCCCTCAAAGTTAAGGCTACAAACCAACCACCATATTTTTAAATTGACAAGATTTTTCTTTGATTTGAAACAGGGGCAGAAAATTTTGATTGTTTCGGAGGAACCCTCCGTAAGGAAAGGCAAGCACCAAACAGGTTTGACAGTAAATTCTCAGGACCCTCCTGGAAAATGGGACCTAGTTTAAAAATCAAAACAATCATGAGTAGTAAAACCTGGCATAAATGTACCCCAAAGGAACATAAGGTGGTTTCAAAGTTTGCATGTTTAAGATAGGATTCAATTAGAAGTTTTCAGGACCCTCCTGGATAATGGGACTTAACTTTAAGACTTCCATTAGATAACAAGATTTAGCGTAAGCTCTGTTGTAGGGTAGTGTAATGCAGCCGTAAAAATTGTCACTCTTAGGATAATACTTGATTTTTGACTTTCAGGACCCTCCTGGACAATGGGATGTAGTTTTAAGACCTTCGTAGATAACTAGCTTTAGCAGAAGTCATACCTTTAGAAAACATAATTCAGCTTTTAAAACTGTCATTTAACTGGGAGTTGTCAGGACCCTCATGGATAATGGGATTTAGCCTTCAAATTCATAGAGATATTTGGTAACATGATTCAATTAACACTCACAGATGTGCCCAACACCAAACTGGGGCAGAAAAATTTCTTTTGTTTTGTTTGTTTTGTTGTAATCAGGTTCAAAGGCAGCAGTTTCGGAGGAGCAGTTCAAGTTCATCAATCAGGCGCCCACCTGGAGAGCACGGGAATACAGTTAAAGTTCAGTAATCAGGCACCCACCTGGAGAGCACGAGAATACAATTCAAGTTCAACAATCAGGCGCCCACCTGAAAAGCACGAGAATACAGTTAAAGTTTTGGTAATCAGGCGCCCACCTAGAAGCACGAGAATACAGTTGAAGTTCAGTAATTAGGTGCCCACCTGGAAAGCATGGGAATACAGTTTAAGTTTGGTAATCAGGCGCCCACCTGGAGAGCATAGGAATACAATTAAAGTTTTGGCAATCAGGCACCCACCTAGAGAGCACGGGAATACAGTTAAAGTTCAGTAATCAGGCGCCCACCTGGAGAGCACGGGAATATAGTTTAAGTTTGGTAATCAGGCGCCCACCTGGAGAGCATAGGAATACAGTTCAAGTTCAGCAATCAGGCACCCACCTGGAGAGCACGGGAATACAGTTCAAGTTCAGCAATCAGGCATCCACCTGGAAAGCACGGTAATATAGTTCAATATTTTGGCAATCAGGCGCCCACCTAGAGAGCACGAGAATACAATTCAAGTTCAGCAATCAGGCGCCCACCTAGAGAGCACGAGAATACAATTCAAGTTCAGCAATCAGGCGCCCACCTGGAGAACACAGGAATATAGTTCAATGTTTTGGCAGTCAGGTGTCCACCTGGAGAGCACGGGAATACAGTTCAAGTTTTGGCAATCAGGCGCCCACCTGGAGAGCATGGGAATACAGTTCAAGTTTTGGCAATCAGGCGCCCACCTGGAGAGCATGGGAATACAATTCAAGTTCAGAAATCAGGCACCCACCTGGAGAGCACGAGAATATAGTTCAATGTTTTGATAATCAAGCGCCGACCTGGAGAGCACATGAATACAGTTCAAGTTTTGGCAATCAGGCGCCTACCTGGAGAGCAAGGGAATACAGTTCAAGTTTTGGCAATCAGGCGCCTACCTGGAGAGCAAGGGAATACAGTTCAAGTTTCGGTAATCAGGCGCCCACCTGGAAAGCAAGGGAATACAGTTAAAGTTTTGGAAATCAGGCGCCCACCTAGAGAGCAAGGGAGAACAACACCAGTTTTAAGGAAGGGAGACAATTTAAGTGTCGGTAATCAGGAGCCCACCTGGAGAACAAAGCAACTCAAAGTATTGGTAATCAGGAGCCTATCTAGAGAACGAAGGGAAAGCAACAATATTCGAAGGAAGACGGTTCAAGTTTAGCAATTAGGCGCCCGCCTGAAGAAAAGGGAAAGCATCTCAGATTACAATTCAAGTCAGCAATAAAGGGATTTCACCTGGAGAATACAAGTCAACAGGAATCACAAGATCAAGCTTGAAGATATAGATAGAAATCTTGTAACCTGTAGTTATTAGGCTAAGCTAGTTTTTTTTATGTTTTGATTTTTGATGTAACATCAAGACCGTGGACCGGAACGTCGGCGGAATGGCACCTCGATCGGCTCTCCACCTCGGTATACTCCATCATCTCACTCACCTCTGAACTACACGTGGTCTGATTCCTTCATAGCCAAGGATATGTAGGCAGCTCAGATACCAAGGCTCGGTCACATTCCCCTCTCTCTTAGTTTTAGTCTCTCCAAATAAGGGTCGGGTAGAAAAACCTATCTAGTCGTTCTTTGTCTGAAAATACTTCGTCGTTCCAGTCAAAGAGGGGCAGTTGTAGACATGTGATTTTTGACCCTCCCCAAGAATTTTCATATTTTAGCACGTCAATATTTAATTTAGGCCTAATATAGCTATTTCAACTCATTTTTACTCTTTTACTTTTATTTTATTACAAGAAAACGAAAATTACAAAAAATAAGTTCATTAATGTTTTGTAGTCATTTTTAATCTTAAAAAAAATACCAAAAAAATAATAATTTTGTTTTAACGGTCAGTCTTATTTTAATAATTATTTTTACTTAAATAGAGATAATTAATATTTTTGATAATACTTTTAGTTAATTAAGCTAATTTTAAGCATAGCTAGTCATAAAGGCCCAAGTTTCTGGCCCATTCNCCCTTCCCCCACGCTTCTTCTTCTTCATTATCTTTAAAGGCCTAGAAGCTAAGAGCTGAAACCAGCCGAAATAGACTTCCCCCCACGATTCTTCTTCTCCATGAAAACAACCCAAAAGAGCTCCAAAAAGCCATAGATAATCAGCTGAAACGACCCCCATCTTCTTCAGCTCAAACCCACCATTGAAGCTGCTCTAAACCAGGCATAAAACATGAGCTAAAAGCTGCTCAAACCAACTGGAAATCGCAGAAAACACAACTGCACAAAATCACCCAAAATAGTCCGTCGAGCACACTCCAAAAGGTCGAGGTTGCGATTTTCATTTTCGAGTTTGCCGGTGTCGACTTGAGGTTTTCGGTTCGAGGTTCATCATTCAGTCGAGTTTGTTGTTCTAAACTTCTGTTCGTGATTGGAATTCTTGTTTAATCAATTTCAGAACCATTTTGGGTTAATTTTCTTGTAAATATTTTCCTTTTGCTTTGTGTAATTCATTTGCAGTTAGCTTAATTATACTTGAGTATCTTATGTTTTGTTTGGTGTTGTCTCATGTTCGTTTTACCGCAATTTCAACAGAATTTGGAAGTGGATATTTTTATAATTTGGTTATTATATAAACTCTAAATCTAAGCGTCATATATTTAGTGCCAAATTTGCTCTTTGCTTCAACATTTTGTATTGTGTTATAAAGATTACTTTCTTCAAAATCGAGAAGATAAGTATCAAATGTGCAAATGCTCTGTAATTTGGAAGACAGAGCTCAGCAGTTCACAACGTAAAAAGTTATGAGAATTATGGTTATATTTCATTAATTTTCGAGCAAGTTTTTCTTTATTTTTGTTCATTAATTTGTCATCTTTTGTTGGTTTAAAGTTCTGGCAAGAACTTGTTTGTTTCTTTTTAATCCATAAACAACAATAGTTTTCCTTCTCTTAGCTAGTTTTCTTAAAATAATTTAATTATATTTAGTGGTGTAGTTTTATAGGAAAGTTAGTTCCATGAATTATCAAGACATGAATCTCTCACTGTCATTATTTGCTTAAAACAATTTAAAGAAGGAAAAATTCATGTTAGAATAACTCAAGGTGCAAAAGGTAGTAATGTACAAGGGAATTGGGCCATACGAACCTTTATGTGCCATGAAACAATTTTGATGTTAAGGAAGAACGGGCCATGGAGTTTTCTGACTTTAAAAATAGAAAATCAGGCCTTTAGGAATCTTTGGATTGGATACTTTAAGTACTATGGCCCATGGTAATAAAATTCATAAGCTAGCCCATCTTCACTAATTATGAACGCGTAGTTGCTTTAGGCTTATGATAACTGTGATTTCTACATGTTTTATATCCATTCTTACCTAAGCTTTGTGCATTAACTGCCATAAATTAGTCCCAAAATGCTTACAAGTTGTGCTTGATTGCAGGTTTGAGCGACAAGATGACAAATACCAAAGATCGGCTCAAAAAGGAGTGAAATCTGCCAAGTGTCAAAAGACAACTGAAGTGGGGAACAAAATGACCTGTGCGGTCCACAATGATTTGTCACGCGGCCGCATAGGAGAGTTCAGAGGCTGGACAATTTCCAGGTCAACCTGCGCGGTCTGCACTGCTTTGCCACGCGGCCGCGCAGGATCGTTCAGAGACCATGCAATTTTCAAGTCAAGATGCGCGGTCCACGCTCCTTTCCACGTGGTCCGTGCCCAAGAGTGTCAGAGACTCCGTCATTCAAGGCAAAAGCTCACGCGGCCGCACACCTAATCAGTGCGGTCCGCGTGGAAATGCCCTACGCAGCCGCGCGTCGCATTTACGCGGTCCGCGTCCCCAAGTGTCAGAAGCAAGATATGAAGACCCAAACCCCTACGCGGCCGCGCGTCATTTGTGCGCGGTCTGCGCCAGACCCTCAGGGGTATTTTTATCCGGTTTTTCCTGTGTAGTATAAATAGAACATTTTACTTTTAGGTGGAGTTTTTTTCAGTTTTGATTTTTTACCAGATAGCAGCTGAACTCGGAACTTCATAGTTTTAGTCCATTTTGGGCAATTTCTTCTAGTATTAACGTGGATTTGAGTAGATTAACATTGTAGTTAATTATTATGTCAATTTCATCTACTATTTCTTCAATTTCTGTTTCTATTATGGCTAGCTAAACCTATTAGCTAGGGTTGTGGCTCAACCCTAGTGTGGGTAATTAATGGGTGTGATTGTTTAGTGCATGAATGATGTTGGGTATTTGTTATTTGGATTAATCTTATGTTTTCATTAAGATTTGGTGGTTGCAAACACTAAGTCTAGCTTAGTGAGTCTTGACTCTTCTTGAGAAAGAGAGTCTATGACCCCAAGATTAATTCCAACAAGGAATTGGGATGGACCCATGAGAATGGTAGTCCCAATTAACGGGTTAAACCTCGAGAGAGTAATTACCCAACTTGAACCATAAGTTGCTTGGGAAAATTGGCCTACCCAATTGGTCGAGAGAGAGGCAATTGGATAAAATCAATCTCTTTACCGAGAGGTGTGAGAGTTGGTACAAAAGTGCAACGGTTATAGCATAAGTCCCATATTCATCATTCTTGCATTAGGAATCTC